ATTTATTTATTTATTTATTTATTTATTTATTTATTTATTTATTTATTCATTCATTTATTTATTCATTTATCTATTTATTTATTTATATTTATGTGTATTCGTGTGCACATGAGTTGGTGGTCAGTGATTAGAGGACAACTTACAGGAGTAGGTTTTTGTAATGGCTGTTCTTATACTTGACACAAGCTAGAATGATCAGAGAGAAAGGAGCCTCAGTTGAGGAAATGTGTCCATGAGATCAAGCTGTAAGGCATTTACTCCATTAGTAATTAATGGGACAATGTTGATATCATGGGTTCCATAAGAAAGCAGACTCAGCCATGAGGAAGCAACCCTTACTGGCCTCTGCATCAGCTCCTGCCTCCAGGATCCTGCCCTGCTTGAGTTCCTGTCCTGACTTCCTCCAAGGATCTCAGATCCAAATCTCAGTTCAAAAGGGTTTCTTACAGAGTTTCTAATCAATGCTTGGGTTTTAAGCACAAGTTAAACAAGTTAAACCTGTGCTGAAGAGATCTAAAAACACGGATCTAAAAACTTAAAACTAGTGGGAAGAGTCAGATAATAAAGAGGGGGAAAATGAACTAAGAGCACTAATAAGGGAACTAAAGTTTAGAAACAAACAAACAAACAAAAAAATGAAACATGTTTGATACCCAGTTCACTGGGCCAGATAGTATTCTGATTCTGTCTGTTCTGCCAAAAGTGGAAAAGGGATTGGTTCATCAGGGACTTCAGGATTTGAATGTAGCATTAGTGGCTTTGATGAGTCCCATGGTAGGATGTGATTTTTGTGACAAGAGGCTTTGGTAAGTCTGAACAATCTGTACCAGGATGTGAATCAAATTAATAAGGTAATAAGGCACCAGGGAGATGAAAAAGGAAAACAACAACCAATGTGTCATAGGCTTGCTAGAACCCATGTATAGAGGTGAATTCCTAGGGGAAAAAAATGGTAAAAAGCTAATGCTGTGCTTTTTGAGTTTTTGGAAGGCTTTAAAGATTGACCAGCAAGTTCACCAAAGGGATAAAAGAATGAAAGACACGGAGGTACACGTAGTCCTTACTGTACCTTGCTGCACGTCACATAATAGTCAAAATACTAAATCTACAGAACAAAGAAAAAATATTAAAAGCAGCAAGGGAAAAAGGTCAAGTAACATATAAAGGTAGACCTATCAGAATCACACCAGATTTCTCAACAAAAACGGTGATAGCCAGAAGGGCCTGGGCAGATGTCATACAGACTCTAAGAGACCACAGATGCCAACCCAGACTATTATACCCAGCAAAGTTTTCATTCAACACAGATGGAGAAAAAAAATATTCTATGACAAAACTAAACTTAAACAATATCTACACAAAAACCCAGCCCTACAGA